GCAGATTACAAATAAAATCCTGCCGGCGAAACTTACTTTAAACAAACAAGTGATTCTGACTGTAAACATGATTATGCAACGTAATTACGATACCCTAATCAAACGGTTCCACTAATTACCACGGGAACAAATATTCTGATTTGTCCTCCATGGCACGCTTTGGCAAGCTGGTTTTCCCTGATGGCAACAGAGGATTGTATCAGGTTTGAATTTGTATTTGATTTTCAGCACAGTGGTACAAACTGTGAGGAGGAAGTTTTATCAAGTAACATAGTCTGATTAAAAAATGTATTTCTTTCAAATCTTCACAGATGTACCACTGGTAAAGTGCAACTACAACCAGTAATTAAGTGTTCAAAATCAAAGCAAAATATTTATTGTATAATTTACAGTGTATTTTTGGTCTTCATCCACAGCTGGAGCACCACTGCAGCCCTAATACCTGATGAGGGAGTAATTATTCCAATGAAAATTACAACCTTTGATCCACTAATTGAGCAGCAGAAAGTATGACTGTAGTCGCACTATGGGGTGAGCCTAACAGAATAGGACACAGAGTGCTGTGGAATAATACAGAGAAAGAAACACATCATCTTCAATTGTATGTACTGCAAGTTTATGAGGTCACCTTATGCATTCAGGTTTGGTAAAAATATGTTTTCTTTTGTTGATGATTCAACAGTATAAGCCTGGCCAGCATCATAACCAATACTGATAAAACTCAAATGAGTGCATTATTCATTCACTTCACATTGTTGTAGCCACAGCTGCCCTGGGGTAGACTGGTGGACTAAATCAAGGCTGCAAATTTGCACTGGCCCCTCATACACCACATTCATACTAGGCAAGGTGAGTGAAATGTGTTGCCTCAAGACACAACAGCAGTAGGCACTTCAGGCACTTGAGGCACTGCAACTCCACCTGATATTCCCAATGGTCTCCCGTCCTACTAGCCAGGCCCAAACTTGCTTCACTTCAGAGAACTGACAAGATTGGACATTCAAGTAAAATTGTAGGTTAACCTAAACTGGTACTGATCAAGAACCAGCACTGTTGCTTTAAGAAATACCTAGATAACAGCATAATATCACCCTGAGTGAACCTGACACCAAGCAGCACATATGTAACTCTCCCATATGGCATATTCAGATGGCATAGAACTGCCGGCTTCATCCATACCCTGCTACTCCATAAACAGCAAAGAGTGCAACCTCCAGGTCCGGTCCAACCAACAGGGTCCAGGCTGCATTTTTCTTCTCGTCTGCTCATTCAATAATTCATGAAATGTGTTTGCTGTTCTTCCTTGACCCCGCACACCACAATACATCTCCCTCAGCATGGCTTGCCTCTCTTGCATACTAGTTGGGAAGTCCTTTTTTTATTTATTTCTTTTTCAACACGCTATTTTCAAATGCTCCATCTCACAGAGCGGATGTCACTGCTATAGATCATTTGAATTTTACAAACGCTACAGCGCCTGGGCTTTAAGCAGCAAATGTGTTTATTAGCCATCTGTTGGACTGTTTGCCGGGTGTGAGATCGGGGAAGGCTGGCGAGGAGAAGTTATAGGTTACAGATTGCGAGACTTCTGCTCTGTGGCAGATACGTGTTCCCATATTGATAGGTGACCTCTAAAATCTGCTGCAATCATTTTAATGGCTGTATCATGAGTTACAGAATGATTTTGAAATGTGTGAAAGTGGTGAATCAGTGTCAAGTGTGGTGCTGTCGAAGATGTCTTTAAATGGTTGTGATGTACTGGTAAATTGGTACATAGTGCTGTCTTATTTTGGTGTACCTGAGAAGTGGGTGGCAGTAGCTCGGTGGATCCAGGGGTTTGTTTTTGTTGTGTTCTTGGGCAAAACACTTCATCTACTTTGGTGTCTGTGTGTGTGAGTATGTGAGTGAGTGATGGGTGGTCATGGAGGGGATGATTGCATACGCAGCTTTGCCTAGATCAGTCTATCCCAGGACTACTTTCACATGAGGACTGAATGAACAATGACTTCTTATAACTCTTATGCGGCTGGCCAAACTTTGAAAGCTCTATAAAAATAAAGGGCATTCAAATTAGACAAGGATGCAACATAAATTATATACATAAGTTACAGTTTCCTATTTATAGACACTGTTTTGGCCCATTCAAAAGACAGAATATACTGACTTGAATACTTAATTTTTGTGGCAGCAGTTTTCATGTTCTCATCACACTGAAACCCATGAATGGCTTTGGTGTGACATATGTAATTATGGTGGCAAGATGTGCATCAAACATGGAGATATAGCCATGTGGTATGTTAATTATTAGCTGTGAATGCCTAAAAGGCGTTATTAGTCATCATCGTTAGCAAAAAAAAAATACATAGGTTATTATGAGAAGGTAAGATGTTGCTGAGTAGTCTTAGACGCTGGGCTATTATTTTATTTTGTTGTTCAGTTCTTAATGACCTTCATCAGTATAAAGTACTACACTGTTAGATGACTTCAACGTTCTTTCAAATATGTAGTTACCAGCACACGCACAAATCATTATTCTAATCTTGAAGGTCTTCTATCACTGCTCTTATTAGAAGTCACTCAGTTAACACAGAGTCTGATCCCATTCCATTTGCTGTGCTTTGATAACCCATTAATGGGAAAACCCTCTCGCCCCTGGTGCTGTCTGATCAGGATTACGCTCTGAAACTGCCCTATTGCATTTCTCTTATGCTCTGGAATATGAGACCCACATTAAAAGGACTCATTTTTAGTCTCTCTGTATAAAGAGATAGCATGCCATGGATTCAAATAATATAGCCTGCTGTAAAATAAAGAGAAAGGGATGGATAGAAAGCACAAACAGACTTCTGCTATCTGTTACTTTCATTTTTACAAGGATTTGAAATGATCTTTTGCTCAAAACCACAACTTTTTTTGTCAAAGCAATTTAAAGTGGCTGTACCCAATGTTTTCTGTGAAGTTGAGCAAAATGTGTTTACCCCAGTACAGATATATTTTGTATACACAGCTCTTAAGGCAGAAATAAGGCTTTGTGCTGTCCGTGCTTGATTATCAGAAAATCAGGAAGTGTGTTGCATATTAATTGATGTTAGAATTACCATAATGGCAACACTCAGATTTGGCCTATATCTGTTATTTATTGTTGTGAAAACCAGGATGCTATGGATGCATAAGGTAAGTAAGGAATAACTTTGGACCTCTGCAAACTGTTAGCATGCTCGTTGTTCGGATCATCGTGGTGGCAGAACTTTGACCTGGCCTCTGAAAGTTGTGAAAGCACTTATAAATTAACTGTAGTGAATCATTAAGGATCCTCGGAATGCATAGAGCAAGTGAGGAATAATTTTGACCATCTGCAAACTGTTTAAAATAAACTAGTTGTCTATTTCACATTTTAAAGACAATAAAAATCAGGTACACATACTGACTGTATAACAATGCCATATTTAACGCTTCACTGTGATTGCATTTAAGAGTGAACAGAGACTTGATGAGGTTGTAAAATGAAAATTATTGAGTGACAAGAGAATGATGTGGCTTATTACAGTCTCGGAGGCGAAAAAGCTATGGTTGACGTGACACTGTCAAAGAAAATACCTGAAACCGTTTTTTAGGGTTGACAAGTGAAATCTAGGGAGTCGAGCTGCTTTCTAAGGCTAAGAAATGAAAACAGCATTGAAAGAGAAGCAGTCATTGATTGCATGTGCACTGCAAGCAGATGGTATTAGCCTTTCTGTCAGCAGCTCCGAAGAGCCCAAACTATAAATAATAGCAGGAGAGTGCGGTGATTAGAGGATTGTTTTCAGACGAATGCATTAAGGTAAAAACCATGGCCCATTTCGACAACTTCATCCCACTCGCATCCCTCTCCGTATCCGCGGCAAGCAAAGTTTAAATCGCTAATAAAATATTCATCCACAGCTATTTGCTTGAGAGAATAATTTATTTTCCTGGGATGCCTCTTTTGCAGATATGCAACTGTGGAATACTGGAGGGAGCGTTGTGTTGCGCTGCTGTGCTTTGATCAGCGGGAGGAGAGGTGGGGGGCGGATGGGGAGGAGAGTGGGGTGAGTGGGAGTGGGAGGGGGTGTTCGGACGAGGGGACCTTGCCATTCACGGTAATGGTTTGTGAAGACTGGGAGCGCGCCTTCTGGACACCGTGTCATCATCGTGACACAGGCCAGATTTGGGGCGTTGCCGGCAGGAGCAGATAGAGATGGAGAGGCGGCAGAGATGATAGAGGAGCCCAGGGTTGAATAAATGTTTTACACACGTGTACTCAAGAAAAATGACATGGTACTGTGGCCCCAAGACCTCGACACGTGCAGACAGAGAAAATGAAGCTGACGACAGGCTTTTGTTTGATATGGGTAAAAGCCACTAACTAATGATTTAAGCACTACCACTTTATTCAGCATCTGTTGTACTGACACTGGCAGTATTGAAAAATATGTTTCATGGTATTTTGACTGAAAAGACAAATGAACACTTTTCAAACATTTCATTCAAGCTGAATAAACAAATCCTTTAGTACATAAGGTCAGATAAAACGAGGACATTTTATGCTGTGAGTTAGATGGTTTACAATATTCATGTGATAAAACCTAAATATCTGGGGAAAATGTTTCCTTCCACCCTGCTCCTTTTAAAGTTACACTATATAACTTTTTATGTTCTGTACGACACCTGCTTCTCCCCATGGAGTTGATGTTTTGCCTGAAATGTTCTAGAGGATTAACTCTAGATTGTCTCAATTGAGGCACAGAGTTGATGCTACATGACAAAGTTACAGGTCACGTCTGTGGAGAGACAACCCCACTCAGTAAGAATATATGATTTTGTGCCTGCAATTGAATAAATGCAAAATAGACAAGTTTAATGCCATATCATGGGACCCTCCATGGAAAAACAAAAATATGTTCCCTTAATGTGTAGTGTTCATGCTTGTATTGTTAAGCTACTGCATCAGAAAAGGCCATGAAAACCAAATATACACTCACCAGGAAGAGCAGACGGAAGTTGGCCAGTTCCCCGAAGAAGTCCTCCACAGTGACAGCATGAGGGTCAAACGCGAAGTAGCTGCCGATGCTTTCATAGAGCTTCTGCATGTTCTTGTGCATCGTGGACAACTTCTCATACTGCTCCCGAGAATGCTTGCTGAAACCGTGGGATCAATAGAATCAAGGAAAATGGTCATGGCAACACTTTGATCACACAATAAACACTATAAGCACATACTAGTAATGTTACAATGGTATCTAAAGAACAGAAAAAAACCCCCCAAAAAACACAACAACATTTGATTTATCTCTTGCACCTTACAGCCATTCAAAGAGTGCACAAATACCAAGGTCAGGAAAACAAAGCTCCGGATGAAGAGGGGTCGTGGAGAAACTAATGTGTTATTACAATAACCTCTCCAGCTCACTTTGGAGTCAATAGCATGTGGAGCTAATAGCCACGGCCCTGGAGTAATGGAAAGGTGTTTTGTAGGCAGCAGCATGACACAGGTGCTGGCTAGAAAACGTGATTGCAGTCATTGTTCCATTGTTTCTCCCAACAACAGTGGGGTCAGGTTGTTTTGAACCTGCCGGCTCACGTCGCACTGTGTAATTTACTGAACAGGCGGAACACTTTGCTCCCGGTGAATGGCTATTGACAGTCGGCATCAGTTAAGTATTATCGCAGCGGACACTGACCTCATGGAGACTGGCAGTGGACACACCAAGACTGCACACGAGCAAGGGGGCCCAAACATACCAATTTGGTAAACACAATAAGAATCTGATGAGAGGGAATTTGAACATTCAGTGTTCTATAAAATACAGGTTGTGCAAATGTGGCCTTCAAGTTGACAGTGATTTTCAGTAATGGAAAAAAAAAAAAAAAAAAAAAAAGCAAATTGGGACTTCAACAGTTTTCAAAGTCATCCAGTTCAGATTAATTAATTTTAATGAAGATGTAGAGCCACTGTCTGGTAGGGCTGAAAACAGTTTCTTATATATTTCATTATATTTATTTGAACAAGAAATATGTGTTTTTGTCTAAATGTAATACTGTTTCATTACCAGAACATTAAAAAGTCTGAAAGAAAGACATTATACAAGGCTTAGATGTATTTGTCCTAATAAAATCTAAAATTGAAAACTAACTACTGAATTTCGCCATTTGTGCCTCCTAAAAAAGAACTTTTAATGTGATGATTTACATTTGAATGTGGTACCTAATATTACTTAAAATTCTATTGTCTGTTTTATGAGTCACATGGTTTTTTTCTGAAAAATAAATTTCTAAAACTTATTTGAGGAAATTTAAAATGCAAATTAACAAACAACTCAAAAGTCAATTTTAGAAAAGGATTATTCTTTTCACACATTTTAGCATAACATTTTACTCAGAGATCAGTTTTGGTTTTCTAGTCCATCCTACGAAACACAGTCTATTATTTACTATGAAAAGGAACAATGCGAGCTGAACTGGAGTGCTCTTTGTGTTCTGAAATCAGGTATGTGCAATTAGCGTCTTAGCAGTTTCTGTGGAAATAACCACATACATGATGTCTGCCGTTATAAAAGCACTTTTTCTTTTGAGATGAATGCATGCAATTTCATATTTTAGATCTTCAGTTTCTTATTTGTTTAGGTAAAAAGCCTGAAGTCAAAGTAGATGAACAATTGATTTGCTATGATAAAGCATTATATAATGTTACGCACATCAAATGACAAGCATCTTCATGCAGACAGCAGGTAGTGTCTGCTTACATGACGAGCTATGTGTGTCACAAAGACAATGAAAGCAGGGGAAGGCTGTGCTAGCTCCCAGCAAGAGAGAGCTTATCAAAAACTGCAATGAAGCGCAGTACGGGAGAGCAGCCCACACACAGGCCGACCCCATAGATGGATGCTTCCTTCTACACCAACTATAATCCATTGTCTACCATGGCCTGATTTACTGTTGCCCTGTGCTATACTGTCAAACTGTCTTTATGTCTCCTTTTGTCTACCTCCGCTTCACTGTGGAAAAAGTTACTTTGCAGGAGTGATGTCTGGCATTTCTGACTTCAACTTTTGATTTATTTAAAGCCACAGTATGTAACTTTTAGCCAAAAATAGCCAAAAATGATGTTGCAGTTTTGTCTTTGTTTTTTGGGGGGTGACAGTAGCTCAGTTGGTAGAGCATATGTCCACTGATCTAAAGGCTGGCGGTTCGAATCACACTCTAGACAAAAACATCCTGTGGGTCAGTGAATTTGTCGTTGCGTGTACCTAGCCCCCAATGTCCACGTACACTGGTGTGAATGAGTGAGTGGTTCTTTGTTGTAAAGGGCTTTGAGTGCCTTGACGGTGGAAAAGCGCTATAGAAAAATTTCTTTGGGTTTATTGCACAAAAAATACGCATCTTCCACAGTCTGACATTAAACTTATCTATCCCCCTTTGTTCCCAATATAGTTTTAACATCCTTTTTCCATGGAATCATGGAATCATCAGGTGATGTGCTACCTTCAGAAAGTTACATACTGTGCCTTTAAAATGTAGAACAGGTCTATAATGGAAGACTTCAAAATAGGCAATTTGTAAATGTTTTTGATAATACTGGTAAAAAGAGTACAAATATAAAGCTGGAAAAAAATGACTACCAAGAAAAAAAAAAGAGAAGTATTATAATAATAAGAGTGCATGTAATCTGGCTTCATCAAGTTGACCAATGCATGCAGCTGTATTGATTTACTTTGAAATCGAATGTCAGGTTTCTCTTATCTTAAAGGTCAACAATTGGCTCTGGTGAGCTTTAAGTCATGTTAGTAATATCATCATAAAAAAATACCTGGAGTTGTGTTTTGTTTCATTCACACATGTTTGAGTAACCCTTTATAATTAGTCTGTCTACATCACTAAAGCTCAAAATGCTCTGTTTCAACTTTTGATGTCATAAAATGGTAGTTTTCAAGATAAGAGCTACCCTTTATCTTTGGTTTAGTAGAGACTGGAAAATGCAGGGCTGAAATTATCCAAATGATTCTAATGAAGGTGTATGTGGTTTAAAAATACAGTGGAGTGTTTTCTGTTTGAGAGAAGAACTCTGCCTAAAAATGCAGGATCTGTGTTAAACATGTGTAAATGAAAGAAAACACAAGTCCAGGTATGTTTTTGATGAGGAAACATTATAACATAGATCAGAAAATAGTGTAATATGGGCACTTTACACATGTCAGAGTAAGAGTTAGAGGGTGCATTGTTTACTTTCATAGTAACTTTGTGCCTTCTTCTCCTGCAGTCACCCTCCCATCTTCACACGTAGCAGTGTCTGAGTCCCGCTGGAGGCCGGACCGAGGCAGCCTGGGCTTTAGCTCTGTGCATTTCCACATCAAAGACATGTCGTAGCGATGGAGGCTGACGCACACTATCCTCCAGCAACACCAGCGCAATGTGGAGACCTCATCAAACACACAGAAAACTCACCGCACTCAAGTCACTGGGAGAGTATGCAACACGATATTTTCAACACCTCTGTCAGGTTGTCCTCCTCTCTTTATTTCAGATACCCAAAGCTTTACTGGTTTTCTTCATCTAAACCATTTTTCCTCCTCTCGTCCTGTCCAGCTCTGTCTTGCTTCTTAAAAAATTCCCTTTCAGTGCTCCTCTGACACCGGCTCCATTAGGTCCCTGTCTTTATCCAGCTGTACCCAGGGTGAACTTTTGTCAAAGGTTTACGTCACCGACCTGGGTCCTGGGCTTAAGCGCCAGGCTGCGTTGAGTTGCACCAAACCTGTTTGTCAAGTCTGTCCTCTCGCCTGCTCAATCTCCTCTGAGAAACAAACTGTTAGCTGAACTCTCTGTTGATGGCTCTGGGCTCCAACAGCTTACAGCTTTTCATGAAAAAAGAAACAGAGAAAAATGGTGAGATAATTTGAAAAAAAGGAATTAATGGCAGTGTACAGCGCACAGGTTAATGCACACCAACAAAACCCTTTTCTGTACACCTTAAGATAAGTTAAAGGTTAAGATGCTTAAAGGTACTGTGCTGGATTTGTACTTTCTTAAAAAAAACAAACAAAAAAAAACACAGAACTAGTAAATTCAAACATTTTGCAGAGGTCCAAAGTTGCTTGGACATCTGCAAAACATGATTTTATAAGCTTATTTCACTTTCTGAGGCTCAAGCAGAGTTCCGTCATCACAGTAAAGCTAACAAAAACTACTATGTACTTGCTGATTATGACACAATAATTAGATGCCTAAAGTACAAAACAGATGTATGTTGACCTCAAGAGCTAGTAACACAATAAATATGTACTGAGAAAAGACAAACTTTGCTCAAATACATGGAAAAATTGAATATAAGGCCTTTAAGGTAACAATTTGCTTAAACAGTGACCCCTTGTGGCTAAAGTCAACTTCTTTAACCCCCATCCCATGATCTACTGTTTAAAACAAGGGTCAAATGTAAAGAACAAAACAAGACGAGGACAAAAAAAAGTTACGGCAACCCAGCATTAAGCTCAGAAATCCAAAACTTTGATATATTCAGCCACTATAGCAACATTTTAATGGGGTAAGGACACTGAATATAGAAGAGCTATTGTTTGAAGATAACGCAGGTAGTTTACAAAATGGATGCTGGATTTGACACCGTAGAAAGACATCATTAGATCTGACAACGCCGCTTTACAAAATGAATATCAGAGCGCACACTCAAATGCATTTCAAGTTTTTTGTATTGTCTTACTCCAATCCCGTTGCCAAGTAGCCCCTTTTATTCATGCGTCCTTGTGAAAAAGCATCTGAAATGAGTTCTTTGTCCCATCACCACGTCCTTGTCACTGGCTTTAATCAGTCACTTTTTATCTGTTTCTGCCAAGCCAGCCGGGGTACATTTAAAATCAGTAAGCTGCGATTAGGGCCATTTTTAACACTGCATCCTGACATCCAATTCCAAGTCAGACTTACCCTACATGGAGAAAGGGAAAAAAATCAAACTGCTTTGTGGAGAGACATTCAAATTCATGATAAAAATCCAATTAGAATCTCCCCAAAAAGTGTTTTTCGCAATGACCACCTAAGAGAATGGCAATAAATGACTTGCTTTGTTTACCTTTGCGCATCGGAGAGTTATTAAAGTGCGGCGTAAAACTCAGACAAAGGGGTGCAAAAAGGCTCCTTAATA